AGAGAGAGAGATGTTCAAATTATTATCTTGGTCATTTGGACAAAATATTATAAGTTTTTAAAATGTACAATAATAGACAATTAAGGATTAATATAATGATTAAAATTAAAATCATTTAACAATAAGTTTGTTAATGTTCTATCAAGTTAATATTTGTTTTAGAAATTTAAGTAAAATTCCTTATCATGCGTTAAGTATTTAGTACTATATTATAACAATTTAAAATGCATAAATTAACCATGCCTATAGTTATAAAATGTACCAAATCAACGGTAGCAATTAATTACATGGAATACAGTTTTCAATTACTATAAATATAAACAATAATGTAAATCAAATTTAATTCTAACTAATTTCATATGTAATATTAATTTATCATGTTTCATCTTACGCCATAATTTACCACACCGTAAGTTATATTCAGTTATTACATAATCAAAACTTATAACATGGTAATTTAAACCATTTTGCGTTTACTTTATAGTTAAATAACAAAATAAACTGTAACATTGTTAAGTTTATACATGTTTAGCCAATATTTCATGTTGGTGATGACGGTAATACAGTGATGAACAGTAATATCCACGAAAAATCGTATTATTTAGTGACAAACAATTACTAAAACTTTTACCCTAATCACAAGTTGGCCATTGAGATGAGTAGCGGTAACATGTTGCTACTAGTGCATGGTGGCGCCGGCACAATCGAGCCTCAGTACGTGCCCCTCAAACTAGCCGGCGTTAAACAAGCGGTGAGAGTTGGCTACGAAGCACTGGCCAATGGCCGGTCGGCTGTGGACGCCGTGGAGGCCGCCGTCAGGCATATGGAAAACGATCCGATTATGAATTGTGGTATATATTTATTTATAGCTTTATCGTGCTCGTTTTATCATTTACAATACAACTTAATCATGTTGTTAGAGGCACTACAACAATCATCCTTGTAGTACCTTGGTCATTTGGTCAAGCTTGAAACTTAGACTTTTATCCCAAACAATACTAACAATTTAAAAATAAATAATTATTTTGTTATGAATAACAAACTATATTAAACTTTTTATATACTTTAGGCTACGGGTCAGCGCTGACGAGCGCCGGCACTGTTGAATGCGATGCCTTTATAATGGACGGTCGGACACTTAAGTCGGGCGCTGTGGCCGGAGTGCAACGGATACGTCACCCGATATCGTTGGCCAGGGCTGTGATGGACCGCACGGACCACTGCCTGATGATGGGCACGGGTGCCGAAAGCTTGGCACAGGAGGTGGGCATCGATTTAGTGGACAACGAATCACTCGTGCACGAGATCGCACAGGTATCCGGTGTTTGGCCGCAAAATTCCTATAAAGTTATCATAAGTTAATTAAAATTATTTTTAAAAATATTATTTTTAGAAACGATTGAATGCTTACAAAATTTTAAAACAAAAAGCGGCCGAAGGTATGCCGAGTGGTGGGACTGCGCCAACTAATACTACCAATACTATTGCCAAAGCGTTGGGCGCCGGGCGGGGAGAGCACGACACTGTGGGCGCTGTGGCCGTCGACTGGGAGGGCAATTGCGCGGCCGCCACCTCAACGGGCGAATTGACTGGCAAACGGGTCGGTCGTGTGGGCGACAGTCCTATCATTGGGGCCGGCGGTTACGCCGAC